CAGCACAGTGGGATGGCCCTGAGTTGTTGTGGCAATGGCCATTTGTCTTCCAGCTTGTGACTTGTGGAATATGGTACAAGTAGTCCAAACAGCATGAGATACAAGGTTATGGATGACTCCAAATTCTGACATGCTTCCTTGTCCTCACTGTAAGCACAGGTAAACAGGATTTTGGGATAGGAAATAGGATTTAGCTATTGCCATGTGTTAATGCTGTCAGAAAGCTACTACTTGCTCCACCTTTGTATCCGTACTGTTTGAGAGAGCAGACAGTGCACATGCCCACTTTCACCTCTGGGACTTCTCCTGCCCGTGCTGGCAACAACCGGCATCGTCTGCTTCTCTAACACAAAGTATTTGCTCTTTCTCTGCCCCAGCAGCATCATTTACTGTCACACAAACCCTTTAAGTCTGCATCTCATCCAATCTCATCATCCTCACCTTCAAGGTTTTACCCGACATCCAACTTCCCTTATATCTTCTCTCACAGCACTGCCTCCCCATTCCCCTCCTCTAAAGCCTTGTCCTAAGCACTCTCTTTGCTTTCCCTGTCACTTAGCAGCAGTTTTACAAGTGTGATGTTTTACTCCTTTCATACTTGTAACATTATTACTGTATCATGCCACCCTGCATGCAAAAATGATTCCTATTTCTTTTGACTCACACACCCCCTGTTAGCTTCCTCCACATCTTTCCTTAAAAGCTATTTCTTCAGCAACAATTTCCAGTTACGCTATCCCCACTGGTATGTCTTCATCTGAATGCCACTGGTCAGAGAGGACCTAAATTTAACCATCTGGGCACAGTATTCACTCATGTTTTTGCCTGAGGCTAGGTAGCTGTTAAATGGATATAATTTGATAACTTGCTTGGGTAAGACATGAATTACATTATCCTTGTGTCAATGATCTCTTATGGCAGGGAAAAGCTGCAAATTTGGGGAGCGTTCTTGCAGCAGCCAGTTGCTGGCCATATGATGTTCAATTTTTATTTATAAGCATTCCCAGTAGTTGGGACAAAGCACACTTTTTTCTTCTTGTTAAAACATTGATAACACTCAAAGATATCCACAAACTGAAGAACCTCAAAGCTTAGCCAGTAGTACAAGTTTACAAGCTTGTTTCTAACTCAGTGTATACCATGACTGAAAACGATGTTGATTATAGGGAAGTCCCAGACTGGAACTAAGTTATCCTAGTGACAGAATCTTTTCTTTTCACCTGCTTACCCTGTTAATGGCGGACTAGCATGCTTTGGCTTTGGAGTCAGAAGACTGAAGTCCACAAGGTGCTTTTTCTGCAGAGGACCTTCCTTTTCAGAACTCACTCTCCACTTTGGCCACCAAAACTTAAGCTTCTTTGCCTTCAGGATCAGTTTAAGGCACATACTTGTTTTGGTGAAACGCTGATTTTTTCACTTTGCCAGATAATAGGCTTCTGCAACTCATTTATTGACACACCACAGGAACACAAAGGTGCTTGTGTTCTGGCTGAAGTTACACACATCATAAAGTTTACCAGCTCATTCTAACATAAGAAGTGATGTGTTACCGGTTTTGGTCAATGTGATCTATATTGTTTTCTATTTTTCATTTCAAATGCATTAGAAGAGATAAAGTATGTGTTTTTTCCTCACATGCATGCCTTTCAGAAGTAGGCTGGAACTGATCACTTACCCTACATTTTAGTAATCCGTGACCCTCCTTAAAGTCATCTCTTTTTCTTCCTAGTGCAAACTGGGAAGCATTGTGCTGCCCTACCAGCTTTCTTAAAATGGAAAAAGTAGCTGGATCTAATAGTTTTCTGAAGGCAATACTGTGTTTCAGATGTGTATTGTGCTTTGTATGCTATCCATTTTGTAGACTTTCACTGATTAAATTACAGTGAATATGGAGGAGCAGATTTTGTGAACCACTAGCAGATGTTCGCTGTTGCTAGTTTTATGAATCTTGTAGAACAGCAGGAACAGCCTATGTGCAAAACATTTTTTTGTGATTTTGCCATCTCATACTGTTCTCACAGCACTGGCTTGGTAATGATATGATAAAGCTTGGGAGGTAAGCTTTGATTGCAGACTAGCTGCTGTTGGGGCCTTCAGAAAGCCAGACCTGTAAAGCGCAGTTTGTTTTCAAAAGCCTGTGGCTGAGACAGATGGGTTAGCTGGAAATATGTCATTTATAATATAATCAAATGCTTGACCTCTTATTCAGGTATTAGTTGTTATGACACGGATGACATTTAAACTGTTTCACAGTTCGTTTCGTTCAGATGTAAGCTGCGATAGCTTTGTGTGAAATGCTAATTTTGGATGAAATTATCATGTTAGCATGATTTATTTGATTTTTGTAACACCTTGTTGTACAGAGATGAAAATGATCATGAAACAGTTTCACATAAAAAGCAAGAGTACTAGAATCTGTAAATTTCAAACATTTTCTTCAAATAATGCTTTATTTTAAACCTGGCCCAAATTTTGGTAGGGAGTGTATCAATGTGGTAATTTACTGTCCTCTCTTGAGCTAACAAGTCACTTGGTTGAAATGGTTTTGTAGTCAAATACATGTTGTGGGCAGAGGAAGAGATCTTTAATACAGAATCAACCTTGCTCTGTGATCTGAACAGAAATGAATTATCATGGGCACAGACAGCATAGGGATGGAGCAAGGCTGAGTTTGTGATAGCACTAGCTTTGCTTTGACTTAGTAATATATCCATCTACAGAGTCCACACCTCTTTCTTTCCTCCATCTCTTTTGCCAATGGATATGTAGCTTACAGGAGTTATCTAAGCACATATGTGTATTAACTGTGACTGGAGGCAGAACAGCAACTGTGATAAAGGATTATTCTTAATACTGGAAAGCCAAAGCATGCAAAAAATTAGAAATACCAGAACTGAGAGTGTTTGCACAATACTAATTCAGCCTTTTTTGTGTGTATGCATTAAAATCTGTTATAACAGAAAAGCAGATTGGAAATAAAATAAGACTAGGACGGCCAATCTTAATACAAGTATTAACTAATTCTGCAGTTCTTGATTTTGTAACCTGAAAATACTATGTTAGCACAGATATTTGGATATAGTTTTCCTTGTTCTTTTTTTAAAAGAGCAAAGCGGGGGGGGGGGGAAAAAATTAAAAATCCCAAACCAAAACAACCCCCCATGAAAATTATATCATCCTCTAGGTAAATCAGTAGTGGGGGGAGTGAGCTATGCAGTTTTCCAGCACAGATACCTGCTGCAGTCATGGAGCAGGCAAAAGCAAGAACTGAGACTCCTAGTGCAGGCTGTGCGGGAGAACTGATCTGCTGTGCACGGATTCTTCTGCTCTTTTGTCCCCACTGGCTTTGTCCTAATCTGCTCCTGTCCTCTCCTGATTTCATTTGCTTGCATAGTCCAGCAAGAGGGAATAATTTGAGACCGAAACCTAAGGGGGAGAAACTGGGACAAGAACAGTTGGGAGAAGACTGTCGGGGGGGGAGAAGAGAAGTTAAGATGAATGAAGGAGGCAAACAGGCTTCAACATTTAAGATGTTAAAGTCTGAGCTATATGGCTAGTGACTGGAAAGAGGGAGACAATGCTAGGTAACTTTCACAGGTGACACTACAAAAATCTATTAGTAACAAACTTCCTTCTCTACCACACAGAAAACAAGCTTGAAAGAAAAAAGTTCAAAAATTCATTAGGTTGTAGCTGATAAAATTTGAAAACATCTATTGCATTATCTAATTCAGTTCATGCAAGATTGCTCCTTTTAACGTGGTTTTGTGTGCATTATGAAATCTAGTTCTAAAGCAACTGAAACTTAGAACCCCTGAAAAACAATTTCAATAGTTCCATGTCTCAGAAATTCTAGGCATTTCTCTACTTTAAATATTCTCTTTGCTAATTTCTTTTTTACTTCTGCTAATTTGTAGCATTTTTAATCTGTTCAGCAATTGCTGTCTATGCAGGTTCTTTTTAACTGTATATGTGCTATTACCACATCTGCACCAGACACTTAATTGTAGCAAGGCTAATGTACGCATCTCTTAACTCTTTCAAGACACATGTCTGAAGTCAAAGACTTTGTTTGATTTTTGGAAGAGATCAGTAAGTTCAGTAAGAACAGGTCCAAAGGATATTGATACTTACAATGACTTAAATTCATAGTCTGTCTTCCACTAATTTGTGAAATCTTTTTCCCCCATTTCCATGGAAATCTTAATTATTTTTCAGTCTTTAAAGTAAATAAAACTGAACGCAATCCAGTCGCAATAGGAATCAGTTTAGTGATATACTTTATTTTCCTATGATATGTACATCTCGTATAACAGCACAAAAACTTCATGTAGGTTGCTTGTGCTGAGAGCCCAGTATGTTCCTTCTATTACCAAATGCAGTCAGTGATGTCTCACTGCTCACTACTGCCTTGTGCACAGCTGTTTCTTGCCCTACCAGTGACACTTAAAGCTGCTCAGCTTCTGTTTATGAAAAAGTTTTCTTCTTTTTTCATAGTACCACAACCATTCTTAGAGGGAGTGTTTACCTCTCCACTTTTTCTTTTGCAAGGGACCTATCTCTGACCTGGGCTTGTTGCAGCAATAATGCTCTTGAATCTGTAGATTCCTTAATATTTCCAGAAGCTGAGGTTCAAGGATGAAGACTATGGGAAAGTTCACATTAGCATTATTTCTGCTATTCTTGTTTTGGGTAAAAATAATATCCCATTTCCATGACCATTTCATAAATATACTATTATTATTATTTTCCATAACAATACCATAGTTCTGCTTTCCTGGAATGTAATCAGTAGTGAATATTCTATACATTTTATGGATAAGGGTTTCAGCAGTGCCCTATTTAGTCAGCTAAGAACAGCAATTTTGTGGATGAATAATTTTTGATAGCATTTCTGTTCTCATGAAGTTAATCAGATGCTTGAAGAAGGACAGACTCCATCATGTGATATAAGACTGACTCCCAGAGTGATGCCACCAACGTCTGTGTTTGCTTTACAGGTTGATGACCAAATGAAGTTGCTTCAGAACTGCTGGAGTGAGCTCTTAATTCTAGATCACATTTACCGGCAAGTGGTACATGGGAAAGAAGGCTCCATCCTTCTGGTTACTGGGCAACAAGTAAGTAAGTGGGCTCAGAAAAGTATCAATGGCTTTTTAATAATAATTTTCAAAATAGCAGGAGTTTAACTAGGTCAGAAGCACTCCTGTGTTCTCAGAGATTCTCCACAAATAATGTACAGAAAATGACTTGTGCACTCTGTTCCTAGTCTGCTGATTACAGGTAAACTTCTAAAAGCAGATATAATCATAAGCACTTTTTTTTGCAAATGTATATTTCAGTGATTGGAAAAATAGCAGATGAGAAGTGTTTCTTGAGAAGTAGTATTTTCTTGGGGCTGAAATGGTTTCTGACAGCAAAAACAACACTCCCAAACCTGATGCTTTAGGTCTAAGCAATTACAGCTTATTTTCCCTTTGGAATTGTGGTTTATTGAAAAGAATCACTAGCTGGGTCAGAAACCTAGAGAACCTGCAGCTACTACCTCATAAATACGTTGGGTTTAGAGAAGTATGTACATGTGTGAGAAACTGGGCAGCTGAGACATCTAATTCCAGGAAAATTATTCAGTCCATAGGCTATAAATGCAGATATTGTCTCAGATGCACCCTGCAGTTTGTGTACAGCTTTTCAAGGGTTAATTTTCTTCAGGTGTCAGATGCATAGGTGTCCTAAAATGCAAGAGCAATAATGTGACAAATATTAGGAAAACTGTGAGAAAACCCAAAGAAAATAAAAAGGTTTGTCTCCCTCGCACTTTCCAAAGCACAAAGAACTTGACAATAAAATAAGAACCTTATTCTTAAGATTCTTAATCTGGTTTAAACAGAAAAAAAATAAATCACAGTAGCAAAGAGAAGCAAAGTGTGGCTGAACATTATGTTCCTGATTCAAAGTGAAAACAAATGATGGCCTATTGGTATATAAGTAGCTGCAAATTGAACTGCCTCAATTCATATGTGTGGGGAAGAGCACCTTTTTCCAAGATACATCATCTGTATCTGCATATTGTGGAATTTGCTTATACCTTTAGTTATAATTTTAAAACTGTAGCAATTTCTTAACACTAAGAACAAGTGTTTATAAGAATCAGAAGGAGAAGTGACTGTTTGCATTTATGATTAGAAGGTGTACAGTAGAAGGGAGAAATGATCGACTTGTCCAAGAAAAGAAGTGGGAAAATTCAAATTCTAGCTATAGAACTGACTCCTGCACCTTTGTGGAAAGTCACTAACCTGAGATAAAGTTGTACTCCCTAATTATACGAGCAAAAATTAGTTGCATTACTCTTGGTTTATGTTGGTGCTATTGAGAAAATGATTGATCCTCTTTCCATTTCATCATCTGCAAAACATGGACAATTTTACCAGCAATTCTTTTATTTACTGCAGAGGGTTCTTGCTTATTCCTTTGTTTATAAAGCTCTAAGTATATTGACAGCTTTCTGTTCCAGAGAGAACTGCTAAATTAGTGTCTCATTTGTTACGTGATTAGCTAGTTTTTAAAGGTACTGAGTGCCTAAGTCCCACTGAAATCATTAGAGACATCTAAATACCCTTAAATTCTAGCAATTGTCCCCATTTTCCCACAGTAATAATTCTTACCTCATTAGCCACTTTTATCTTTTCTTGAAAAAAAACCCCAGCTGTACATGAACTCAAGGCAAAGCACAGCATTTAATCACTGTTAGACAACAGGTAGCAGGATGCTTATTAAATATACTGCTTACAAATCATCAGCTGGTTTTGGAAGTTGTATATTTCCAGGCAGAATTATAGTCTCTGGCTAAATTAAAACCTGGCTAAATTGGACTGATCGCATCTGTCTTTGCCCCAGGTTTGTCAAATAGGTTTAATACATCCTCTTCTCAATGTAATTTCACATTCCTATGCCAAAGTTTGTCCTTTTGAGATTGGTGCAAGCACCCCCAGAGTCTCCTGTCATCTTCTGTACATTCCTCTTTGCACTTAGGCTGCTTGGAGATCAAGGAGCCATATTACAAGAACAGCAAACAAGAACACTAAAGTCAGTCCCTTCCTTATGGATGGACTCCTTTCCATTTCACACTAGCTAACAGCTGGAAAACATACTTGCATGTATGCACCACAGTTTCTCCTTGAGAAACAGGGAGACACCAGACCTGAAGTAAATATGCACTCTCTGGCTGCCGTTTTTGAAACTGGAACAAGTCTGAAATCTACATGTAATGCCACTGTATTGTCCTGATTTCATTCAGCTCTGGTCCCTGTCATCCTAGATTAAAAGTCAGATTGCTTACAGAGTGGGCACAGCTGCACTGACTGCGCCTGCTCTCTCTGGGCTGTGCATTGCACGCGTGCTCACAGAAAGACTGCTGGTAGTTGAGGTATTGCAGAAGTGCCACTACTATGCCAGTACATGAGTTGTATGCAATTTGTCATTCAAAAGCATTTACTTTAAAATATCATCCATTTAAATGATTTTCATGGGTGAAAATCATTCATTGAAGAACCTCTTTTATTTAGAAGGACAAAGCTGGGTGAGCTAAACAGGAGGTTTAAAATATCTAGAATTGCCAGAGTCACAAATCTTAAAAGCACAGAATAATCCAGGCTGGAAGGGATTTTAATGACTCTCTAGTCCAACCCCTTGCTCAAACAAGGTTTCTCAGGGCTTTATCCAGTTGGACTTTGAAAACCCCCAAGGATGGAAACTGCACAACCTCCCTACGCAGCCAGCACCACTGCCTGACAATCTTCATGGGGATAAAGTTTTTCCTTAGTTCTGGTCTAAATCTCTTTTGTTTCAACTTATACCCCATGCTGGTCACTCTGCTCCTCCTTGAGCTCTGCTGCACAGCACAGAGCCTGGGAAGACCTTGCTGGTAAAGACTGAGGCAAAGCAGCACTGAGAACCTCAGTCTGGTCTGTGTTTGCTGCCACTGTGTTTGCTGCCACTGTGTTTGCTGAATATTGCCTTTTTGCATTGTAGCTCAGTTGCGAGTTACTTGTTTAGGCAAGCTGATCCAATACAACTGCTTCTTTTCATGTCAAGATGGACCATCTTGGCAGCATCGACTCAGTTTGTTGTCATTCTAAGACACAATGTGAGTTCGAATGTATTTATGAAAGGACAATTATGACTGTGTCCATCTCCTCTGTATTAACTGTAAAATAATTCTGGGAAGCCACACTTCTAGACCCAGGCATTATGAGTCTTTGCTGTTGCACTACATGCTGCATACTTTCTGGTTGCTGCCCTGATCCTTTCAGTTTCTCCAGTAGAGAAAGGGAAATAACCATGCCACCATCTCATAAAAATTAATTGATTAAGGTGTGGAAAGCACTCTGACAATTCTGATGAAAAGTGCTGTAGAAGTTTTTATTTACTGCTACCAGCAAAGCACTATGAGCAAAATTACAGTCAATCATCTGGCTTTCAAAGATATTAACTTTAAACTGAGGACCTGAGCTAGATAGCCTACTTTATTACCTGAGAGATCATGATTATTGTCACAAGCTAGCAAATTTAAGACCTCAGAAGCCTCACTCCTTGCTTTCCTTAATATATCCCTCCATAAAAGCTACTCATAAACACAGTCCTTTTTACAATCACAATCACAATCAAGGGGGAAGCTGTAAGGGGGGAACTTATCACCACTTAATTAGAACATACCTGCTTTCTCCACTTAGGCTGCACAGCCTCTGTTCCTCAGATACAAAAGTCAAACTTCATCCAGCTCTCCAGGGCCACACCGCTGTCAGTTCTATACTAGGTATCTAAAATGGGCTAGTGGTTAGAAGCACACTCAATTTTCAAATGCATCGGCTCAAAACCCATTACCTTAGGGCATTCCTATCACATTTCCATACATCTGCATTTCCCTCAAGCCACTGGCTTATGAGTTTTACCCAGTGTCAATCCACTGTTCCCACTTTGATGGGGAAAAAGTGCAGTCAGCAACAAAGTAGTAAGCATTGGCCCTTGCATAAAAAAAAAGACTTTTATTTTATTTTGTTATTTGTTGGAGTTTCATAAATGAAGCTCTTTTGTGTGTATGTGTTTCAAGAAAGCACTTTTTTCAGATCATTACAATTCCTCAGCAGTTCCTCAGAAACAAGTTCCTCCCTATGCTGCACACTTCATTTTCTGCACTAAGTACTGCCCCTCAGCAGTAGCAATTACCATTTCAAAAGGAAATAAAGTAGCACAAATGCATTTTACAACTCTCCAAATTTCATAATGGAAAACAGCTAAGGAGTGATTTGCAATGTGGTGGTTTATTGTAAATCATTGCCAATATGCTCTCCACATGCCAAGTTTCATAGGCTTGCCATGTGGCATGTAATTTTAACAGACCATTTCTAATTACAGGACTTTAATTCCTCCAACTTGAGCACTTTCCTTTGTATCTTCCACACCAGCAATACGCTGCCAGCTTCCAAGATCCAGCACACACAAGGCAGATACTAAAGCTCTGTACAGAATATCATTGTTCTTGCATTGTCACGCAGCAGTCAACACACGAATTGTAGCCTTGGCTGCCCAGACACAAGCTGCTCATTTTGTTCATACCTACACTCTACTCATTGCCAAATATTCCCTCTGCTGAGTTTGGTCAAAGCCTTTCAGATTAAAAAGGCTGTCCAAAACCGTGCCTAAATCTGAGATTTTTTTGAGATTGTTGAAACTACCGACTTAGTTAAAGTCATCACACAAATACATCTTTCTACCTGGATTTGTATGCTAAAGCATAGCACCAGAGAAGAGCATGAGAGAGAACCAAGATCTTGACAATGTTGTGTTTTGAAGCAAATAAAAATTTAACTTCAATTTAGAGCAGACTTTGTGGCTTGAACCTCTTGCTAGATGGGATACTTTGTAGATCTTTCAGATGTATGCTATTGAAAGGTGGTGATGTGTGGCCTGGGGCATTTTCTGTGGCAATGTCATCTCTGTTAGACTTACCCACTTGCAAAGAATGCTTCTACTCTCCCAATGTTGCTGTATTTGCTGAGGCCTTTGGAGAATCTGTTTGTCTAGGAAACAGACTTGCAAGTTTAAGGTAAGATCACCTTGC